CGTGGGGCGGGGGGCTGGCCGGGCCTTCCTGCTCATCGAGGACCTGACCGGCTCCTGCTTCGAGCCTCTGCCCCAGGGGCTGCTGCTCCACGAGCTGCCTGACCGCCGCAGCTGCCTGGCAGCCGGCCACCAGTGGCGGGGCTACACGGTCTCCTCCCACACCTTCCTGCTCACCTTCTGCTGCCTGCTCATGGCTGAGGAAGCGGCAGTGTTTGCCAAGTACCTGGCCCACGGGCTGCCCGCTGGTGCGCCCCTGCGCCTCGTCTTCCTGCTCAACGTGCTGTTACTGGGCCTCTGGAACTTCTTGCTGCTCTGTACTGTCATCTATTTCCACCAGTATACTCACAAGGTGGTGGGCGCCGCAGTGGGCACCTTTGCCTGGTACCTCACCTACGGCAGCTGGTATCATCAGCCCTGGTCTCCAGGGAGCCCTGGTCATGGGCTCTTCCCTCGCCCCCACTCCAGCCGCAAGCGTAACTGAAAGAAGTCAAGGCACGTCTGGCCTGGCTCTGGCCCCTCTCATCATTTGGTTGGGGGGACCTGGAAAGGGTGGGAAGGGCAAAAAGAGAGGCTGGAAAATAAAATAAATATTTGAAATAAATAAATAAGAGGCTGGTGGTCACTGAGGTTCCTCAGCCATTCCTTGCTGTTACCAACTTTGAATGTCTTCCCTTATGCTTGATGGCCATTTCTCCTGCTGTCCTTTTATTCTCCTAGTCCTTACAGACTTTGAGCTATTTGAGGCTCTGATGTCAAGGAGTGGCACTGCTAGGGCAGGTAACGGTGCCCGTAGGTATGGGCAGCATTCCTGCTGAGCAGGTGCCCATCTCCAGCCTGGTTGATTTATTTTTCCTGCCTCTCCCACTGAATCCTACCCCTGCTTTCCGCGGGGGCCTGCCTGTCTAGAGACCCTTTCTACCCTGTCTTCCTCATAGGGGTCCATGTGTACTCATTTATTTAACAGATGTTTATTGAATCAAGCATAGTTCCATGCCATGTGAATAAGAAAGACTAGGTTTTTTGCTGCCTGGGGGCCAGTGGGTTGGTTACTGGGGAAGGCAGATGATAAACTCACAAATAACAATAGCTAACACTTGCATTGTGCTTACTCTGTGCCAGGCACCATTCTAAGTGTAAGTTCTTCATATAAATTAACACATTTAGCCCTCACAGCAACAGCACTATGAAGTAGGTAGTATGTCCATTGTACATTTGGGAAAACTGAGGCACAGGGTAAGTAACTTGTTCACAGCTAATAAACATGAGAATCAGGATTATAAACCCAGGCACTATGGGTCTGTTATCTGTCTCTAAACCAGGGATAAGCAAATTACAGCCCTCCTGTGGCCAGTTTTTGTATTGCCTGATTGCTAAGAAAGGTTCCTAACATTTTTTTAATGGTAGAAAAAAAATAAAAATATTTCATGGTATGTGAAAATTATGTGAAATTCAAATTCCAGTGTCCATAAATAAAGTTGTATTAGAACCTAGCCACACTAATTCATTTAGGTATAGCTACTTGCCTGCTACAATGGCAGAGTTGAGTACTGTAGTTGTGATAGACACTATATGGCCCAAAAAGCCTAAAATATTTACTATCTGGCCTTTTACAGAAAAGGTTTGTTTGCCAAACCCTGGTCTAAGCCACACTAGCCTCAAAAAATAAACTGACAGATATCAGAGATAAGTGCTATGAAGGTACTTTAACAGGATGCTTTGTAAGAGAGAGACATGGCACCCTCGCTGGTTTGGCTCAGTGGATAGAGCGTGGCCCTGCAGATTGAAGGATTCTGGGTTCAGTGCCAGTCAGGAGCACATACCTGGGTTGCAGGCGATGGGTGATTCTCATCATTGATGTTTCTCTCTCTCTCCCTTCCTCTCTGAAATCAGCAATGTGTGTGTGTGTGTGTGTGTGTGTGTGTGTGTATGATCTCCAAAAGCTGTGTGGAGAGCGGGTTATGGAGGAATGGAGTCCACAACAAGGGTCAGGAGAGAGCTGACTGGAGTCTGGGTTGGGGTCTGAATGGCACTGCATTGGCCAGAGGATGCTGGGGAGTCAGGGACCCAGGCTGGCAGGGCTGAGGGGAAAGCCAGGCTTGTTCCACAGCTGAGGAAAGATGGTAGAGCACCGGGTAAGGCTTATCCCTGTCCCAGGGCCCGCAGATGAAGAAGAGAGCCAGTGGGAAGTCGGGAGGCGGGGTGCGGGAGTCCAAAGGCGGGCACTGGCCGGGTAGAGGGAGTGCGCGCCTGGTGAGGCCGAGAGGGGAGGATCAGAGCACAGAGAGCACAGGCGTGGAAAGGAGACAGGGGAGGGAGGAGGAGGAGGGAGGAGGCGGGGCATCGAGAGCAGGGAGGCGGG